TAGATCTTTGCATTTGGAACTGTTTAGGACTAAAAAAATGTATTTGCCAAAAAAAGGGGTATTGTTAATAATGTTTTATATAAATAGATTATATAATTGCAGCAAACCCATAGACAATTAAATGAAATACTCCTTGTAATATTAAATCCAAAATTCAAATGGTATTAATTTATTTTCATTTTACATCTGCACACGCTCGCCCACTAACAGCACAATAAAAAAAATAAGACAGATGCCGATCGCGGCATACCAGGCAATTACACACACATATGCATATGTACACATATATGTATGTGTATTCTCTCCGGTTAATTTCATCATTGGAGACTTTTGCCTATTCCTTCTTACATTAGATTTACAGTGGTCATGTTCAACAGTTAAAAATCATTCGACATTATTGTGGTGTTTTAAAGGCACAACTATATGTTATTTTAAATGTTCATATCGAAGTCAATTAACGTCAAAGTCGAGTCAATCACGTCAAGTGAACTAAAGGAAATGGCTGGAGCTCAGGCCGGAACTGAAACTTGCTCTTTGCTTTTTCAGAAGTACTTAGCACTAATTGTTTTACATACATATTTAAAACATTCAAAAAARTTCCGGTGAAAAATATCAGATTAAATCCTTCCTTTGATAGGCATTTCAAATTCTCTGAGTAAAACATAAATGTATTTTTTCATTTCAGCTGAGGATCCCAAAGCATGCAAATATGGCGACAAAACTTGCATAATGAGCACCATCGARTACCTGATGCGAGAAAAATCCCAAGGTACATACATACCTTTCTAACGGTACATGTAAATTAAACAGACGAATATTACAATTTAGGTTTTTCATCGCTTAATTTGGCTAAGACGGAACCACTCAGAATTGCCAAAATCGTTATGAAACAAGGCGCTGAAAGTCCCGTTAACATTGACCTCACCTTCACCAACAATGACTTATACGGTTTTAGTGGAGTAAAAATGATTGACTTGAAGTAAGGCAATGAATTTCTGCAATATCCATATTAATAAATCTACTTTTATTAATTTTTTAGGGGTTTCGGCAAGGATTTGACCACAAAACACGATCTTATTTTTTCTGCTCCCATYCTCAGCTTGGTAGGAGATTACTCAATTAAGGGACGCGTATTAATATTGCCTATCACTGGCACAGGCACGAGCAATATTACAATGCGTGAGTTATTTAGAAAAAAAGTAGTACTAGGAAAATTTTATTCCGTCTCATCTCATTTTTCTGCAGTTAACTCTAAAATTCGGATTCAGTTTGCTGGCACTCCAGTSGAAAAACCGGACGGCGTCCATATGAGTGTGAAGTCGGCGCGTTTGAGTGTGGATCCGTCAAGAATGATTTTCAATTTTGGCAATCTTTTCAATGGTGACAAACAGCTGGGTGACACAATGAATGTCTTCTTGAATGAGAACTGGAAGGAGATATATCAAGAAGTGCGTGCAACTTTTACAAATGCGTTTTCTCAAATCTTCACAAGCGTTATAGATAATGTGTTCAGCATTTATCCTTATGATAAATACTTTTCGGAATAAAAATTAAGATATTAGATTGTTCTTTTATTATCTGYTTGCAGTTTTGGGGGAAAAGCTCTATGTCGAAATATAAATTGGGTTAAGTAGGTTCGACTTCTTAAACCGATAAGTTCAACACGAAATGACTACTATAATACTAAAGATTCAAAACTTTCAGCTGCTCCGCGTCGCTAATGATTTTAAACAATGACTCACTCCAGATAAAATTAGTTTATAGCGGTGTACCAAAACCTTAAGGTTTTAAAATATCTTTAAAAAATCGATTTTTTCTTATTGTACAAATCGAAGACCTAAATTGTCTAGGATATGTTGGTAAAATGTTTTTTCGATCCGTGAATTATTTCCGTCGCARCGGACCTATGTCCTGAGCATTGACGGACGCTTTGAAACTTTGACACGCGTCTCCTCGAAACAAAATTTTTTGAATCTGCAGGCATTCTCGTTTTWTAAGCATTCAACCAATTATCTTCGCGTTTTGCCCGCCTAAAAGAAGACAAAATGCTCCGGCGCTGTAACCTACAAAATCGCAATATTTTGATCATGAACGATTTTCTACAACAGGTCAAAGTGGAAAAATCATGCGAAAAAACGATACTTTATTTTCAAGTGGACGCCATTTTGTTTCTTTAACGAATTTTTTCATGATTTTTAAGTTGGGGTACGGAATGTTATCATTGGGATTCGTTTGATTTTCTGCTTTTACAACGAATTGCGACCTGTATCGTGCCCGCAGATGAGGTCTGTTTTCAAAACACCTTTTTTTGTTTTAAACGTGCCTACTTTCCGAGATCCTAATATCGAGTTGACATTTCAAGCACGTTACGTACACCTGCAAACGAAACCCTTGGTTTTCGGAAAAGGCAAAAGAACAGCACGTGCGGGATAGGATAGATACCGAGAATTGAAGAGTGAARCGAGACGCTTTGCAGACAAACAAAGAGAGAGRTCGAAATGTGTGAATAGAAAGAGCTTGAAAGAGCTTCGGCGAGTAACAGAAGGTTTCAAGACCGGAACTTAATATTGTAGAACCACAGAGGTGATCTAGTAACTGACAGAGCATACTAAAATTATGAAGGGACACTTCTCCAGCCTATTGATTGRCAGTGAAAGAATAACATCAGGAGATGGTGAACCCRTTTCCCCMAACGATGACGATGGAGCGGACGTTCCACTGCCCGACCATGAAGAAGTTTGAATAGCAATTACCCGTCTGAATAACAACAAAGCGGTGTGGGAGAACTGAAAATGAGCGTCCATCAGCTTTATTTTTAGATTATGGTTGGACGAAAACATGCCCGAAGATTGAAATTTAAGTGTGCTCTGCCCAATTCACAAAAAGGGAGATCCCAACTATCGTCAGATAATCCTCTCCAACATCGCATATAAGGATTGAATCTTCTCGGTGTGACTTTAGGCTTGAAAAATCAACAACTGACCAGATATTCACCATGCGCAAAATCTTGGAAACGACTCTTGAAAAAAGTATCGAAACAGTTAAAAGGGAAAACGACTGGCGCGCTGCTGTTAAGGGTCAGAAGGATAATTTTATTTCAATTTTTTTTTTTTTTTTTTGCATTTTCTGTCCCTTATACCCTGAGAAGTAATGTAAAAACCCACTTTACCATTGGAAGGTTTCGAAAAAGGCCCAAAAATAATAATACCGCTTGACGTTCGGAGCGCTCGGAGTGCACACCTCAAACTTTAAACAAACTTTTTACAACTGCTTTTTTTTTTTTTTTTTAATGTTCACAAAACGCTATAGTCTCTATATATATGTATATATTGCAATGTATTGACAATGTTATGACAAAATTTATGTAAAAAAAAATGGGGAAAAATTAAAAACAAAAAAAGTTAATTACTTTTTTATTTATCAACATTTTTCCATGATACTAGTAGGGACGATAACCATTCRCGTACTTTTTAAGAATAAATAGCGTTTTTGTGTTTCAGATGATCCAAACATGAGAAATCGTGTCCGCCAGTGAAAAAACGCATCTCATTCACCCAGTCATTTCTCCGACAGATGTMATCAAAAAATTCCGAAAAAATTGTTTATACACTCCACGATGTGTGAAAAAAGTTATATTGTAGAATAAAAATTTCTGTAAAAAAGGTCAAAAAAAAAAAATATCAGATTACCCTACTGATACCTTAATTCGACTAAAACCGCGTTTGCGGTGTTTACGTCTATAAAGAAGAAGACTATAGCTTCGGTGCAACCAAATTAAACGTTTTATCTTCTTTAGTATAAAGTTTCGCAACGTTACTTGTTTTTTTTATTAAATTTATGCAGAAATGGGATCTACAACCATTCATTTTATTTAGCAAATTTCGATTTTGTAATCAAATTTTGCAAAAGATATATTTAAGAGAAATGAAATATATAATTAGAAGCGTTTGCAAGTCATTGACACTTCTTTCACAAGATACATAGATTATATATATATATGTATATATACATATCTTATATACATATGTACATTCCATAAATAGATGTATCTTTATATATGAGCATATCTATTTATACTTACATACATTAGTGCACAGGCTTTAAACTAATATTTGAATAAGAAGTAAGGAAGGGCAAAGTTCGGTTGTTTTCGTTAGAAAGTCAGCCATAGGCACAGGGGTGCAAGCATCTGGTATCTGTAGGCTTGTATAATTTTGGCCCGATTTTGAAAATTCTTAAACCTGGGATGGCATATATTAAATACAATATTCGTGTAAATTGTTATCCCAATATATTGTATTAATTAGTGCTTGATTTTTAGTAGTTTTTAACAAAACCGCTATRTTATTATTTTCTCACTATCGTAAGAAGGTTTGAACAGATTTGTTTTGTGCAAATTTAGGTGATATATCTTTATTGGTTAGGCAGATATAATATATACAATTAACTTATTGGTGGTCACGCCCACTTTTTATACATTTTCGAAGCATAGGTGCCCCTCGTTATTGCGATTCGATGTACAAATTACAGTTTTGTATCTTAATTTGCGTCTTACTTATGGCACTTTCGATTAATGGCGTTGTGTGGGCGTGGCAGTGGTATTATATCTATCTACGAACTCGTCTCCCCTTTTCGCCAAGAAACACGTCTCATCAAGATAGCTCAATTCTTAATCAAGTTGTAGCTGTAACCGTTCGGACGGACAGACGGCTTCTGTATATCTCAATTAGTTYWAGGTGATACAAACAACTTTTAGGTRAACAAAGCTATTATACTCTTAAGCAACATGTTACAAGAGTATACAAATTGTCTGAATATTGCAAAACGCCTATAAAGGTATTAGTCAATGTAAATGTAAGTATGTACATACATATCGACTCGCTTATGGCTTTTTATATATGTAAATACACATACATATGTATATACATATATGTGTCAGTTTTTATATATAAAGAAAGTTTAAAATTTATTAACTTATATATGCATACATACATACATTATTTAGCACGTTCCTGATTGCTTGAATACAAATTGCAATAGCTCATGTAGGCCTTTATGTGCTCGAGATCAAATTGCCATCACAGATATTATCATGTTGACACGTTTCCTCGTTAATTCATTAACATGCACAACTCCTTGTTCTATTAAGTGAGATAGCCTCTGATCTTCTGAACTTGTTTTTGTTTAATTAAAACGAATCGCAGTTTAAAAATCGAAACGAAAATCATATAAAAGTTAAATTCACCAATGCATTGTAAATTCATTAAMCGGACAAGTGCGCTGCACCGCATTCCCACAAATTAAATTTCGTCAAACAAAAATAATTCGGTAGCAAAGTGAACATAAGCAGGATGTCGCGGATTAGCTGGATACAGTTATTCGCGTGTGCAGTACTTTACATGCAATCAGCAACCGCGCAAAAAGGTATGTATGTTTCCATTTTCTTTAAGAATTTTGTAAGTCCTTAAAATACTTCTATTCCCCCCAGCACTGAACTTTGAGCGCTGCCGCTACGGTGATTCGGTGTGCCACACAAAGATTACCAACGAACTGATAAAAAAGTACGGCGCAACTGGTGTGCATGCACTACATATCCCGCCCTTCGATCCATTGCGTATTAAGTCGCTTGTATTGCCCCCGAATCCAAAAGCTCTCATAAATGCACGCTTGTCCTTCAAAAATGTCGACATAACTGGTTTGACGAATGCACAAAACATCAAAGTCGAGTAAGTGCAATGCAAAAAATAACGAGAATAAGCAAATGTTTTTACTACGGATCTGTAGTAATGCCTGGTCTAAGCAAAGCGCATAACATACATAGATTTATCACCTAAAAAGMAAATTTAATTAAAATTMTTTTGTATTTTAAAAAACTACATTTTACTCAACGCAGAGGCTTCACACGTGATGTCACAAGTCCGATATCACTGTCATGCACCGTCCCGAAAGCAAGGTTTAGTGGTGCCTATGAAGGCGAAGGCAAAATTCTTGGCGTGAATTTTCAAGGCAAAGGAAATTGCGTAATAGAGCTATGTATGGTGATAAAATAAAGCTTTCTTAATTGTATTTCCATATGTATGTACMTATATATTTTTCTTCTTAAAATTCCAGCTGATATAAACCTCACTAGCAAAATAGATGCCAAATTGGTGCAGAAAAGCTTGAAGAATTACTTAGTCATCAATAATGTATCATTGGTTATGTCGAAACCGAAAAATGTGCATTACCAACTTGATGGACTCTACCATGGCAGTCCGGAATTGAGCGCAACGGCGAACGATTTCCTCAATGGCAATGCGGATGAAATATWTGAAGGCATGCGTCCGCATATGCAAGAGATTTTTGCAGTGGTCGTACATGAATACATGACAAAATGTTTTAATGAATGGCCATACGATGATCTTTTCCTGCCCGAGTAAAATAAGAGAATAAGAGTATTAATAATTATGAAGTAATTAATATTTTTTATGCGTGTAAATACAACATCAATACAGCAAAGAATGCAAACAAAATTAATTTTGCTTAAATTCATTTATTTYAAAACAGATTTCAATATTTTTTACAATAACATGAAATAAGCTATTATAGCGACGAAGTAGAGAGTAGAAATTCATTTATTTTGAGTACAAAAAAATTTAGCTTTTAAAACGAGTTATGCAGATAACGCGCTGTAATAAATTTGAAATTAGAAGCACAAAAAGTTTACATTTCTGGTTTGCTTTGCAGCACGATTWGTTACTAACATATGTACATACATACATAAATGTCTATGTGTAAAAGTTATCGCAATTTAAAAACGAGTAATCGAAATAACTAAAATATAAAATAATTAATTTACAATATATAGGAATAAAATGMGAATATTACATTTTTCTTCGAACTGGTTTAATTGAGAGATGTTTGGAAAACATTTATAGAACAAGGAGACTGAGTTAATATTAAACTGGAATCATAAAAAAATATACAATTCGGCGAATGGCCGTATTAATGTAATAATTCATATGTTTGATTTTAAATAAATTAATAAATACATATGCATATATTCGAAATATATATGTGTATAAATATTAATATTATGCACAAAAATGAATTTGCTTCTGCTTGTACTTATTTACGAGCAATTATTGTCTACTCTCTTATTAAAAACTTAGTTTTTGAATAATTTTTAAATAGTGCGACTGTTAAAAAAAATAATAATACTAATTGCGTTTATATACAATCAGACTTGTAATTAAAAAGGTCAATGTTAATGTGAATAAAATTAATATACAATTTATGGCTGTAATTTTTTGAATTGTAAAAGATTGTTTTAATAACTTAAAGGCAACTTCAGGAACAAAAAACATTAACAAACATTTTTTTCTATATTAACTATCCAGAGAAAGATGGTATCTAGTCTTCAAATCTTCAATTCTAGAAATATGTAAAAAAAAAAGTTGTACAAATTTCATATTTTTATATATGTACAATCAACAAATGAACAAAAATTATTTTTGGCTAAACTACTAAAAATAATTAGCGCTAAAATTACAAAAAAAAATATTTTCCATTTTAATTTTTTTTAATATTAACCTAAATAAAAGTAATTATGWCTAAACTAAAAATTCTTAAGACTAAAACTACAAAACAAAATTATTTTATTTATATACAATCAGAAACAATATCTAAAATTTAACGAAAATGTTAAAAAAGACTAATCATATTAAGTTAAAATGATATGCAATTTTAAGCAAAAAAAGTTACAGAAACTAATTATTAATGAAAAATTAATATACGTAAATATTTAAGAAACTAAAATAATATTGGTTTACAGGAAACTATTACAGTTTACTAAAAATTATTAGTAAAAATTATGTATGACTATATTCTATTATGGAAAAAATCTAATAAATTCTCAAATTTAAGTAAATATTTAATTAAAATATATAAAATAAATTAAATAAAGTCTTTAAATAAATTTTAATATAAATAACTTACAAGAGGCTATTTTTTGAATTTTTTTAACTAATTAAAAATATTGTKGACGTTAAATGCGGAAATAAATACAACTAAGATCGAGTATGAAATAATTATTTAATAATATGAGCTAATAACTAATTAAAACTAATCATGAGATGTTTAAAAATTTGAATAAAATCAAATCATAAATTTATAGAATTGAAGTATAACTAATTAAAATTTTATACTAAAATCAAAGAATTTGAGTTATAAAAATGAAAACATATAAAAAAATCYGGGCACAAAAGTGTTAATTGAAAAATTTTATATCAATAAAATTAGAATACATATTTGGATATAATAATTTACGTGTAATTAAAACATAAATATGTCTAAAAAATTATATTATAAATATCTAAGCTAAGTTTTAAAATAATTAATTAAAAAGATTATGTTGACATATAAAACTTTTGCACACAAATGTATACATTAAATTGCACTTTTCTTTTAAACGGCGCCACTGTGACGCGTGGTTCGCCGATCAGCAAGAGTTTCRTTCAAAATATTAGTAACGGCACCCGCATCAGCGTTGAAATAGGTTTCGTTTACGGTAGTAGTTTGCTGATCAATATCACCATTGATTGCGCTCATTGYATGTGTAGTTCCCGCAACATCACGGGCAGTAAATGCTGTGTCTACTGCTGCTTCTCCACAAACCAAGCCATCGTTGTTATTAGGTGAGACTATTTCATGTTTCAGTCCTGTATTATATATTGTCGAACGCTTTGTGCGCTCTACTGCCCAATTGAAGGCATGTACATAGATGTGTGCCTCGCGTATTTGATCATTGAGCTGTAGTATGAGATTTTCCAGCAACTGTGTTTGAGCTAGCATAAAAAAAATGTAAAACAAGCGGTATTCTGTTATAATTCGCTGCCAGACTTACTGCGTGCTTGTTCGGTGACAAATTGTCCACGTTTATGCTCCATTTCAATTCGTTTAAATGTCTCAAATTGTGTTAAAAAATAGCGCAACTTATTTAAGGTCTGTTCACACTCCATATACAACTCCATGCTGTACACTTTGTTTGCGTTCAAAATGCGTTGCATTTCACATAAGAATATTGTACACTTTTTTGCTGCCTGCTTCACTTGATATTGCACATTCATGGTACAAGGCATGGAACACTTCAACTGTGCATCTATCTGCATTTTACCTGCTTGCAATTGTATGTCGGCATCAAACGCATTTAATGGTAAAACGTCGTTCAAATAATAATGCATTTTTCGAAGCAAACCAAATAGACGCAAAACTGGGTTAGGCTCCTTGCTGCAATTAATTGAGAACACATTCACATAAGTATTTAAAACGTTAAGAAAGAAATTGTATTTAACTAAAACATACTTATCCAATGGTAGGCCAAGAGTGGATAAATCGACTACAATTTTRTCGTAATCAATTTCTTGTTCTTTCAATGTGTCGTTGTATTTTGAAAACCGACGTTGACTAACTGCCAYTTTGTTGACAGTTCCATTATTGTTGCGGCTTCCAGAACGATAGAAATCAGTTTCGCTTGCATTGAAAGCAGCGCTTGAAATAAGTGGCACTGCACTGCTATCCAGATTGGAGTTTTGGTGACGTAAGAAGTGAAATTCAAATTTAGGCGCAGTAGAAGCTTTAGGCGATACTCCACAAGTTAAATTGGTTTCATTTGAAGAGCGGATTTGCGGAATTTCTTTAGATAGAGTTGGTACTAAACTGTAATTRCAATTCACGCCCTCATTCAACCCAGGAGTTCCAGGGGCTATTGCAGAATGAAACTGTGCTATTGCAACTGAGTGAGATGTGGCTGCCGAACCATATAAATTTGATGCAACATGGAAATGTTGTTGCTTGTTTCTTCTATTTTGYTGCATTTGCTGATTTTGAAGTTGGTGATGATAATAATGTTGACGATATAATTGCAACATGTGTGCCTCTCTGGTGTTCGTGTGGGAATTATCTGGAGCTTTTCCAACTGCTCCGGTCACATTTCCACAACTTTTATCATCTTTCAAACATTTATTACTTAACTGAGCAACACAGGACTCTACGTAAGGCATTGGCAATCCGATTACCTCAGGGCATTTTGTTGTTGCAGTTAATCCAATAGCACCAACAGAATCTAATTCGCCACCAATAAGCAGTGAACTCAATTCTTGTGAAATAGTTTCCATATTGGTATTCAGTAATTGACTATCACTTTCACAACTTGGTTGGTGATAWGTAGCCATTTTTTCAGATTTTCAGCTGAAGGCAATTAAAAAAATTTTGTGGAAAAAACGTTACATTTAAAATTTTTCGAATATTCCTCAAACTAATATATTACACATGCTACTTTTTTCACAAAATTATATGATTTAATTATTTGCTTATTTAATTAATGGTGATTTTGAATTATAAAATAAAATATCTTTCAGTTTTTACTTACTTTGGCAAACAGCAATTAAAAATTAATCTTTCTATAAGACCAGCCGAAATAATTAGACGTGACAAATTTGATTTGCCAACAAACAACAGGAAACGTCTGACGTAGGGTAGATAATGTTACCACATAGAATTTTCTTTTACATAAGTAAATAGGTAAATCAATTATGTGCTGTAAGGGAATAGATTTTCCTACCCTTTAGAAACACTTGGAAGCTTTAATTGATCCAGCGGCAAATTTAATTTATTTTGAATTATTCTAAAAACATACTTTATTTTTGAATTTAAAAAAAGTTACTAACCGTATAACATATGCAGGGTGACTGTCGTAGAATTATATATATTGAAACTTATGTAAATAAAAAAAAACTGTTTAACTTTCATATTAAAAATACTCTTGGACCGGTGGCATCTCTCTTAGCTTGCAATTTTAACGAATTAATATCTTATGRGGCATCTCGACAGGATAAAATCTATGTCTTACTAACTGTATTGCCGTGCCTATTGCCTGTGGAGACTCCATATTGCTTACAATATATGGAATACTAATTAGTTTGCCATATATTGTACGCAATAAGCTGTCACTTCAGCTGTTTGACAGCGCAGTTTTCATTTCTATGAAAATTTCGAAGAGGCAATATATCTCATTTGCACATATGCCGATGGCATTTTCATTTCGGTAATATGAAATTTAGAAGAGCGAGTATTAAAATGGTTGTGTTATATTATAAAAATAGAATACATTTTCAAAATAAAATTTTTCCCAAAAATTAATATTGAGTTCAATATTGTTAATTTACAGAAAAACTATGCAAATTGGGTAATGAGCGAAGTCTTAAATTTAATAATTTTATACAAGCATAAATCAAAATATCATTGCTCATATTAAACTTATTATTTTTTTAAGTGGTATATAAAATGTATGCYACAATTATTACATAGGAGTCCAAAAATATGAATTCTTATTTTTCCCAGAAATATATTTGTAAAAAAAAAGGATGGTAATCCTTTTTTATTTTCCTCATAACAGTTTTAAGCAGTTGAAGTGCTCAAAACATACGCTAAATCAGCTACCTACCCAACGGCATTTCGCAATGTTATAAAATAAAGTTTTCGTGAGCTCAAAGCATGCGCTACATCAGGTCGAAATTACCTACCCTATGCTTTTGCGCAAATGATTATGTTATGATAACAAATGCCCACATAGAGATTTGACAATGGCAATAGCAATAGATTTTACAGTTAGTACGACATAAATTTTATCCTGTCGAGATGCCCCKTTATAAACTTGACGAGTAGGAATATTTCAAAACAGGGTTGCTTATGTTAGTACTGTGCATTGTTACCCTTATTATATAGTTTGTAGTTCTCTAATTCCGTTTATAAATAACAATCATAATTTAATTAGATACGCTTTTATTACTTGAGTTTTTTTTTCCTACGAAAATATCTTCTAATCCATAATGTCTAATTAATTCTAATGGATGTATGTCTTTTACCATTTGGATACTTGTTCACTAATGTTCTCAAAATAAATTTTTATTAGTTGGAATATTCGATAAATATATTTTTGAATCATAAAAAAAACAAAGCTTATGTTCTCATTTTTAACTAAACCACAAAATTTGTGAATTTTTTAATTGAAAATTTATTGTATGCTTAAGAGTAAATTTTTATATTATTTGTATATTTTATACACATTTAAATGAAAAATTACTTTTTTTAATGCGGTTATTGGGAAACAATTTTTTTTACCTTGTATATGGTATTTCCAAATTTGTGTTTTTTTGTTGTTCAATACAATATATCAGCCCTTTTTTAATTCATGTTATATTCTCCACATATATATTAAAACTGACTAAAAATGTCCTATCTACCCAAAACACGACCTCTCGAGTGTATCGAAAAAATGTTATATAAAAAAAAATATAATTTTCATTATACTAAAGCCGGTCCCCTAAAAGTTGTTTATTGCACAGTAGAAATTGTTCYCTGTATCATAAATTCCCTAGTTTCATAAATTACTGTTGATACAACTTGCTTTTTTAAGATATATATGTATTACCCAATCATAAAGAGGAAATATACATTACAAAGACAAAATACGTTCTGTTTAAAAACTGAGATAATGAAATTCGAATTTTGTATAAAAATTGTTATTTATGTTATTAATTTTTAGTGTTTTAAGATTATTACTGCCGAGACCAAAACTGTTTACTTGAAGTTTAGCAATCTGATTAGATTTTGCCCAACTTTCAATCAATTGTGCACACAATCATTAGATCACAATTTCTATATAACACTTCCACACATTTCAAATATATCTCGTAGCGAACGTTTCCTCTTCCAAGGYAAGCCATAGAATTGAAAATTCTTTATTTATTGGGTTAAACGACACATGTATTTACACCAAATACAATTAATATGCATTTGAGCTCCAAGTTCATTTTACCATTTTTACAAACAATTCACTTCATTCATTAAAATCATTTGAACATTGCAGTTATTTCCAACAGAGCTGAACCACACTTTTTATAGTTTTAATGTAAAGAAAATAGTTAAATGCTCTTGTTTGGTTGTATCTTTTTATTYTTTGTTTATTAAAAAATTAATAATCGCGCTGACATCTTATTATTCTACTGTGGCTTCCTTCTGAAAGAACAACCTGCAAAATARAAAAAACAAAATTAGTAAATTAATGCACATACGAAATTACCAAAAAGCAAAACATACCCTCAGTAAGTTTAGCACGTCCTCCTGTGGGTTGGCACAGAATTGTGGCACATCCCGCACATACAACGACGCCTTGTGCATGACTGAAAACTGTGGTAATTCTGTAACAGCCGGGGCACTTAACATCCATGAAGTAAGAGTTGGGATGTTGCACCAAGCGCTTCAACTTGTGCTTACGCTTCTCTTCAGCGGGCAATGGGTGCAGTAAATCTTTTGCTAGCTGCAAATATAAGTAAACACAATCAATTCAGAATTGYTGCAATCAGTTGAAAATTCAGTTTGTGTGGCATTAAACTGCAAGATTTTCTAGGTTATGTTTATCACATATTTTAATTGATATAAATCACTTATTTATTTCATTGTTTTAATATGCACAAAGAAATGTAGTCAATAATTGACTCAGCGATTAATATTCATCGAGTTAAGGTGTACAACATTGGCTTAGTTCTTCTTAGTAATGTGAACTCGATACACAAGCGCATGCAATCTTTCATTTTGCCACCGTCGAGCGTTTGTCGCAATTAACACAAGCACTTTACGAAATTTCTGGCATTTTATTCAAGTAAAAAAACTTGTTTCACTTGCACACAGGCTAGAACTTTCATTCCAATGCAAAAGAAATGCCCATTTAATAATTAAAAGGCAGTAATTTGTAAATTTTCATCGAATTTGACACCCACCGGCATGTTTCTTCTTTCACAGCTAACACGGAAAAGGAAGTGGGCCAAGTTTGCGTGAAGTTAGGTGTCGTTGTATATATAGACAGATATTTCATCATTAATTAGCGCTGCCAATATTTATTAATACATTTATTTATTCAATTCGATACATTAATCTGCCAAATTTCACTATTTTGTATAATTGTGCAGTATAGGTAATTTACATTAAAACTACACAGTAAGAGTTTGGTATCCTTGCGCTGCTCAATTAAAGCAAGACAAATGAATATAAACTTCTGCAAAGACACTTATAGGATACGGTAACTCTGTGGAATGTAATTTAATTTAATTGTGAAATGAAAATATGCTCATATTAATGAAATGCCTACAATAAAAAAGTACAATCCATGAATGCAAATGCGTATATTGCGCTCATGTTTACTTGTATTATTTTATCCAGATATGTATATGTTAACATTTTATCTTTGATATTATATTGATTGCATTACATTTACTTGGATAAATGATTTTTTCTTAATATGGATAACGAAATAATTGATTTTGCAATTTTAAATTAACCATATTTTATAATTATTTGCAAAGTTCTTTATTATGTGATTGGCGGCATCTGTGTGTGGATTTCAACAAAATGTTAAAACAATACAGCTAGCAACTGCCCGTTTTTCTGACGCGATGGAAAGATACCGAAAGCCGAAAGTGCTGAAACGCCGCCACTTGCAAAAATTTTTCCAAGCGCCGAACATGGGAAAATTTGTCAGTGAAAGTGTAATAGCGTAAAATAAAGAAAAAGTTATTTTGTTTTTCCCATCAACGTTTTATGACGGATAAAATTGAATTTCAGTGCGTTTGTTACAAAAGTGTGAATAATCGAAAATCAGAGAATACAAAGTGGGAAAATTGCATTGCGACCAAAAATATAATATAAAAGTGACTAAAGAAAGTAACTAAAGAATATAATTATCGGAAGAAAAAAATCTAGTGACGATTTGTTGATTCCTGCTTAATYGTGCGTGCAAAAAATGTACAAAACTAAAAAAGAAGTGGATGCCCATGTGCGAACTGCACTATCGAAGTTGCGTTCCGAATCTGAGGTACGTGTTAAAGCAAGGCCATGCTAGTATCATAACATTTCCATTGGTTTAGATATATTTATGTTTATGTTACATAATTTAATTAAAATGTGCAAAGCCAATAGAATTTCAGGTATTCACATTAATGCATTTATTTTGCGGCGAAACAATGCGGCGCCAATTTGTGTGTTTAGTTGTGTGCTTCCAACCAACCGGCGTTGTCAAAAAATATATTGGATTGGATTGTAGGACTTATATCATCGTTATTGCATGTGCAAACTAAAATATCATCAGGGTTATTTACTTATATTAATTTATTTTTAAAACTAGCAAATATTTTATGTAAAATGAGGTTATGTGTCCTTCATATTTCTCTTTTAGTAATATTCGTTCTCTGCCGTTATTAGCGCAGAGTTGATTCGATGTAAAAATTTCGGCGGTTGTTTTTACCAGGGTTTGCTAAATCAAGGAATGAAATTTTTTTTTTGTTTTTCAGAAACAAAAACTTTTGCATAAGTTATTAAGATCTAAATGTAATTTGTAGAAGCTTAATAAACTGGTGCCCAAAAAGTTTTATAGATATAAAAGTGGTAAGCACAAAGTTGTATGAACATTATTGGATGCTATTTGGCTGTTTACCTGTTGTGAACTTTGGTTATATTATTACAAAAATTCAATTATAGGACATATAAGTATTTTTTCCATAAATATGTATATTATCTTCATTTTTGATTAAATATTTATTTTTGAATAATTTAAATTTTAGCGGCAGTTACGAAGTTTTATCATCGCCAAACTTTATTACAAAATCGGCGAATATTCCACCGCAGAACAATATCTGTGCTCCTACCTCAACGTAAAAGAAGACAATGATCAGGCGCATAAATTACTTGGTCAATGTTATCAACGCCTTAAGAAACCAGAAAAGGCGCTACAGTCCTTTCAACGTTCTTTACAACTGAATTCAAAACAACCCGAAGTGTTGGCCGATGTTTGTCAACTATTGTTGGATGATAAAAACTTGAATGTGAGTAAAGCTAAATATTGGTGTGAATTAGCTGAGTCGGAGAAGGTGCAACACGATKCAGTATTCTCATTGCGCTTGAAATTGATGAACAAAGATAATCTGGAATCGAATCAAGTTGAGGATTTAATACTGAAAGAAATAAATGCTCGTCCAAATGATGTGCAATTACGTGTTCGACTTATGCGGAATTACATTGAACAAAATAAAGTGTTGGACGCCTTCAAATATGTACACAATTTTGAGATGAACCAGCATGACAATTTCTCCAGCAGCAGCGAATGGTACAATATCGTGTGGTTAGTGCTCAACAAATATGAACATATGCCAAACACGAAAAAGGATTGGGAGTTTTGGCTGTTAATGATTATTTGCCTGGAACGACAAGTCAACATTAGTTTCACATTAACTGCCGCTTCTGCGACTGGAGGASTAACGGAGACGGCAAATTTACTTTTCAATTTAGATCAATATCTGTTCAAAGTCACACAGTTGTCGGATAAATTGTGCGCACAACGTGAATTGGTTAATCTTTTTTTGGATCATTATCGCGGTCAGATGCTAATTTATGCGACAGCTTTAATCTTCAAGCGTGAACTTTTGCAAAACAAGAACAAGTGGAAAGAAACTGTAAAGGTGGTGYTACCACTATTACTATTTGCTTTCCAAACAGATGTGCCAGACAATCGTGAACCATGGATGAGACACACTGACGAACAAGGCAAGCAGTTGATACAGTTGTGGAATCGCGAGGGTTCTTTCCGTTGCGCACAGGTAAGAGAAAAAGTGTAAAAGATGCGTACACCCTGTGTAGTGTATATTCAGTTTGATATGAATTTTCTAACTGTGCCCAAAAAATAAGGTGACATTGTATTTATTWWGAAAATWCTTTATTTATTCTTCCAAATCAATTTCATCCCCTTTAAAGTGATCCCCTCCCGATGCAATGCACTTATGCCATCGGATTTTCCAATATTCGAAACTYTCCGGGATGGCCTTCAGTTCCGTCTTCGCTGCGGCTTGTATCTCCTCTATCGTATAAAAACTGTGTCACCGGATCGGTCTTTTGAGCTTGGTGAACACACGGCACAAGACCAGGTGACTACGGTGGTTACGGAACGATATGGGTTGAGTTGTTGGCGAAATAATCGCGAATTCCTTTTTTCCAAAAACTCATTGTTTTCGGTATCAGTKGAGATTTGACGCGATTGAGGCCCAAAACATCCTTCAAAATAGTGTTGGCTAGGCCTTTCGATATGCCAACTTCATCAGAAAGGTCTCTAATTGTTAATTAATTAATAATTGTTTTTCAACACCAAATCTTTGATTTGTTGAACGTGAGCTTGACGCTCTTCGYCTTCGACACGTTCACGGCCGGCTTGGAACTCACTATACCACTTGTAAACATTTTTTGTTTTTAGACATAGCCTCATCACCAAAGGCTTCTTCTTCTTACCGTAAACAAAATTTAGTGCAAATTCTTTGCTCAACAAATTTCGACATCGTAAAAACCGAAAAACTCACTTTTAGCAGCTCACAAAACGACACGTATCTCAAACACTAATGAATATTTTGACATGAAATTTCACATAAATGTTGCTGACAGTACTATCAACCTAAAAAATAATAATTCTCCAAATCCTTCKTCGCGAGCAGTTTAAATTCAAATGTCACCTTATTTTTTGGGCACAGTACGGTTTACAGTAATAATATGACATCCTGGTATTTGGAAAACATTGTTTCACAGACGTTAACGGGATGCTGTCTTTCAAAAAATTAAATGATTTTGGAATAAATTGTTCTTTCATTTTTCTTAAACGTGTTAACTGATCCGTCTGGTTGTTAATCGTCTAGTCTAAATCACCAATTCATTTATTTTATTGACGTGTTGGTCACTAGTTGATGTTGACAAACAACACCGAAGGCCTTTCAACATTCTGAATGTTTTTTCTGGTTTTGTTATGAAATATTTGATTATGAAAAAGCGTATGTTATTTCAATTTATAATTTAATTTCAATTTTATCATTGTAAATAAAGCAAATATGTTACTTCATTTTAGGCTGGTCGTACTTTGCTATCATGCATTGCAGACGAGTTAACTACTGACAAAGAAAATGCCAATCAACAAATAAATAGTTTGCTTGGTAACAATCCACCGTTRTGGCGCAACAGCGATGAGTTGTTGTCGCAAATACGTCAAATTTGTTCAGACAAAACGTGGCGGCGAAACGTATTTGCTGCGCTCTACTGCAACAGTGATCAAAAAGTTAAAGAACAAAGTTCTTTGTTAATCAAGAGTCCGAAACTGGTCGAGCCCGTGTTCGAGCTGCCCACCTACGCCGACGTTGAGCGCTATGAAGAGGCTGTCTCTTATACACATCTAGATGTGTATAAGAGACAGCTGCAACAGTGATCAAAAAGTTAAAGAACAAAGTTCTTTGTTAATCAAGAGTCCGAAACTGGTCGAGCCCGTGTTCGAGCTGCCCACCTACGCCGACGTTGAGCGCTATGAAGAGGATGCGCAGTACTTAAAACCACAATCTTTGCAACATTTGGTCTACCTATGTTTGGGTAATGATAATCTCGCCTATGTGCGTGCTAAATATTTTAGTGGTTTGAATTTTTCCACACAAAACTTGGCATTTTGTGGTGCAGAGTCTTTAAACCAATTGGATTTGGATACGTTTTTATATGCGGCAACTATACAAGCTAAACGTACACTGCAAGTGGAACGCGAAAGCTTTGACAATTACAACACGGGCAATCGCAGCGCTTCCGGACGTCCACGCATACTGCCATTCGTTAATTTGCAGGGGCAGCTATGTACCGAGGAACAATCCAATTGGTGGCTAGCTGCCTATCAGGTTTACAAAAATCTAAGCGCGGATAATTTAGCCGAGTTACGCGCTAACTTACAGTATGGTATAGAAGCTGTGCGCGGTGTTAATGGGCCGAAAATTGACATGATCATCGTGTTCAAATTGGGGCAGATATTTGTCGCACGA